CAAAATCCAATTCCTCTTCAATTCTGGGCTGAGTTGAATCTTTCTCCTCCTCAAACTAGAGTCACAACATAATTCAATCAATAACTCCCAACTAAACACCCAGCCATTCAAAGATTTTTCCCCAAATAAACCCTTACCTTGAATCCTAGCTCAAACAACCTCTTTTTTTTTCCTCCAGGAATTGCTGCAGCCCCTTTTTCCTAAAATCAGTTTGCTGCAAAAGAGTAACGTCCACCATTGAGAAGGCTTGATTATGCTTGTCCTTATACTCCTTAGGTAGGTTACAAGATTCGGAGACTAAAAATATAGAAAAACTTCACTTTGAGCTCAAATTTGTATTTTAAAAGTTGGGCCTTTGAAGGAATCCGAAAATGGGATTTTGAGGGAAGCTCAAGGTTCAACTTTTCTAAGACCAAATTAGGTTGTAACGTTAAAATCCACAGAATCCAGCCACTAAGCGAAGGAAAACATCAAGGCAAAAATCAAATTTTCGGATTAGAAAAGGAAATAAGAGAATACCCTACAAGAAATCTCCTAGGATTCGGATTACCTAGAAAAACTTATCAAAATCCGAAATTTGAACCAAAAACTGGATTTGGAGACAAAGGATAAACGAAATCAAAGTCTCATACCTCTTTGATCTTGGAAAACCACCTTCAATACTTCAAGCTTCTACACAATCAATCCCAAAACCGGATTACCTATGGAATTTTGAAGAAAGCCATTTGTTTTCTAACCAAATCAAGGCTCTTCTTTTCTTTTTTTTTTTCCTGGAAGGGAGATCGAGGGGGAGAGAGAGTCGGTTGGGAAGATGAGAAAGGAAGAGTGAGAAATGTGAAATAAGGTTGAGGTTTGAGAGAGATTGAAAAATTGAATTTTTTTTTTTTCCTTCCTATGTTACACCATCCCCTCCTCAACGTGGCCAGAGAAGGGAGATGAGTGGCATGGCTGAGGTTCCAGCCATGCCACGTGAAAGGGCAGTTGGTCCTGTTTTTTTTTTTTTTTTTTTTTTTTTTGTTAATATGGCCCCCAACTACGAAAATTCTTTCAATCATGCCCTCCTAAAGCCTTGCAATTTAGTCCTTAAACTCTTTTATCATTTCTCTTACAATTCCTTCATACAAAATTAACACAAAAGTTTAAGTCCGAAAATTAGGATGTTACAACTCTTCTTGATTTCTCTTACAAACTTCGGTGGTTCTCTTAATTTTTATTTCCTCTTTTTTCTCTTACAACTCTTCTTGATTTCTCTTACAAACTTCGGCGGTTCTCTTAATTTTTATTTCCTCTTTTTTCTCGTACAACCTTCGGCGGTTCTCTTAATTTTTATTTCCTCCTTTTTCTCTTACAACTCTTCTTGATTTCTCTTACAAACTTCGGCCTATTTATAGTTGATGTAGGAGGCCATCTGAAGATCGTCGATGTTGCCAAATTGTTATTATACAAGTTTCAAGTAAACAACCTTTCTTGTAACAAGTTTTAACAAAACTTCTTTCGTTGAAACGAAACTTCTATCAATGAAAGCTGTTTATGAAAGCGACATATGATCATCCAAACTTTCACAGCAGTTTCTTATTTATTCTTTAATTCATAATAGATTCTTTAATTCATAATAGTGTAACATATAGCGATCCTACATTGAAGATCACTTTTATTATTCTTACATTTATAGCTATTGACTAGTGTCTACATGCATACACATGCACACGTCATTTAATTTTATTTATCTTTGGTTCACCCCATACGTGTGTCGTGTCAGCATCCTTACACTCGCGCACCCCTCTATGGCTCTTAGGGTCATATATACACAATACGCATAGTTCCCACATGGACCCGGAACACCTTCCTTAAAATAAAATTAAAAAAAAAAAAAAAAAAGGAAAAAAGCAAAAGCAAAAGCACCCTCTGCAAACAACCTTAATAGAAGGCGATAAAAATAAATAAAAAATAAAAAAATTGGACCATAGAACCTAGCAATGCTATTATTCGTCTTAAAAGTTTTCTGGCTAACATGTCACACGAGCAAAAGAGAAGCCAAATTCATTCTTTCTGTAGCAGCATATGCATCATACTGGCATGTATAGCAGATGATGTAGCTGGTTGATGAAAGAGTCCTATCCTCCTTATTCACTTTTGCCTAAGACAAAATTAATAAAGAGAAATACAGTAATTTAAGTCTTTTCTGACTAAATTCACGTGCACATACACTACATAAGTATTAGCCACTATCCCATTCCGTAAAGGGTGATTAACACAACTAGCCCGTAGTGTAAGTAGGAGTTGGCAAGTTTATAACAGTGCTCTTGATCTTGGTCATCATGTTGATGCTGTTGGTGATTCCTTGTGACCCAATTCCGCTGTCTTTAATACCCTGCATTGAGTAAAAATATTTGTTGGATCTATAGAAGTATTGGCCTTAGAAAGAAACGTTGGTGATATAGCAACTGCAGTCTTGTGCAACTAGCCGACTAGAAATGGCCGACTTCAAATGGGTTTTAATGCAATGATAAGGATGTCTTTCCTTCTCCCCTTAGCACGTGCCTAGATTTGATACTTTACAGCCCCGCTATATGGCCCCTGCCTGACTAATTTGTTGTGAGGCATTGAATATGTGGTGGCATGAAATAAAATTGGGCTCATCTTTTGAGTAGAATTGGGTCAGATCGTTTCTACTTTGTTGGTGGGTCCTAGGTTTTCCAAAGTGATAAAGGGAATGGGAGGCAAGATGCCACCATAGATTCCCTTTTATATTTTAGGAAAAAGAAAAATTGCAATCATGTGGGGTCTTTGTTTAGAGATTGCTTACCTGGAATGGGAAATGATCCGGTCCACGAGCTGGTGCGGAGTTAATCTGAACCGTCCCTGTCTCCATTGCATCACTGATCAACATTGCCTTGTTGATGTCCCTTGTGAAGACACAACCCTGTTTGAGACATGAATAAACACTAATTACTCAAAAGGGAGAGATAGTGAAGATAGACCGAACGTGTATTATACAAGGATAAGTTTTAAGTTTTAGTTGTTTATAGGATAAGAAGAACATAATACTTTGACAAATTATAGAAGGATGATTTTTAGTTGGTTGTTTATAAGATAAGGCCTCAGCCAAAACGTAAGGGGACGGGTATACTAAGAGACAAAAACCAAGTTTGTTGTGCTAAAAGAGCTTAACATATACTTTGACAAATTATAGAAGGATGATTTTTAGTTGGTTGTTTATAAGATAAGGCCTCAGCCAAAACGTAAGGGGACAGGTATACTAAGAGACAAAAACCAAGTTTGTTGTGCTAAAAGAGCTTAACAGATGACATTGCACATTTATCAAACTTTTTTGTGGTGCAACCAATATCAGAGAGGACAAATATCTCATGTAAGTGAAGCATGGAACTATTGATGGGTGATCAGAAGATCACAAGTTCAAGTCTCCATTCATGTTTTTTTTTTTTTTTCCTCCTTTCTTGAAATAATGTCTATTCATGTTGAATCAATTAGTAAATGTAAGTTTGTACCTGGAGTCCAAAATTGCTGGCATTGCAATGGTGGATTCCTTCTTCAACAGAGTTAATCCTAATGACTGGTAAAACGGGTCCAAATGGCTCCTCCCATGCAATTCTCATGTCGGGCCTGACATGATCTAACAACAAAGGCCAGATGAGATTTCCCTCTCTCTTGTATGGCTGGCAAAATGTTGCACCTTTCTCTTTTGCATCCTTAACCAATCCCTCGATGAAATTCGCAGACGACTCGGAAACAACTGGAGTGATATCACTGTCTTCCTCTGGTGGTCCAACTGTCAGTTTTGCCACCTTTGCCTTCACTTTCTCGACAAGGGCATCAGCGACAGATTCCATTACTAATACAACCTTAACAGCAGTACACCTCTGTCCACTGTTGTAAGAGCAGGAATTAAGCAAACAAAGAATAGACCATGTTAGTGGTTTTATAAGGAAATTAAGCATATACTTGAATCACAAAAATATTGATTCTTTTGTTGATAAATTTTTAAAATCAGTAATGATAAATATCATAAGAGAATTTTATAGTAAAATAAACTTTCTTGTCACAACTTATTCACCCGTAACAGTTAAGATTTAGTTTCATGGTGTGTCAACGAGCTTTTCAATGAGTATCAATTTCCAATTTCAGCACAGGCCAAGTATAGTGCTGTTCTACATGTATCCTAAATTTCTAATCCCTTCACCTGTAAGAAAAGCCGCCTTTAATAATGTTCGACGCAACCAAATCCAAGTCGGCATCCTCGAGCACAATGCATGCATCTTTTCCTCCCAACTCCATCTGGAGAGGGATCATGCCGGCCTTCTTTGAAATCGCAATGCCAGTGTCTCCACCAGTGAAGCTAAGAAGGAATTGATTCAAGAGTTAGCTAACGCATCAAATAGAGACCAAAACGAGGGCCTAATTGTATGGGATGAAATTATGATGACCTGGGATTTTACCTTATGCAGTTTACCCCAGGATGCATGGTAAGGAAGTCACCAATCTCGGATCCCTTCCCAGTGACACAATTGATAAGGCCTTTCGGAAAGCCAGCTAGGTGAAAACAGTGCACCATGTGGAGACAAGAAACAGCTCCCTAGAAAGAAATTTAGGAGATTCAGAGAATCAATCTGCAATGCTTAATTAAATAGTGTTTCTTTGTGTTTTAATTAACATTTTGAAGTTTGTTAAGTTTTCACAGTACGTTGTGCACTAGTAAATTGGTGATTGTCACATAGTTTATGGAACAAATTTGTCATTAGTATGGTAGTTACCTGAGTTGGGGGTTTAAGCACAAGGGAATTTCCGGCTATAAGAGCAGGAGCAATTTTTGAGACAGCAAGGTTGACAGGATAGTTAAATGGTGGAATCGCCAAAACCACCCCGAGAGGAATCTGCAATTGGAATTGAAACATAATTACAATTATATTATTTAAACTTTTTTTCTTTTATCTACAAAATGATAGCAATACGTCTCATATCCCCTACATGGTGAAATTTTAATTTCTACCACGTAGCTAGAAGCCTAGAAGATAAGTAACCTTTTTTTTTTTTTTTTTTGAAATTATGACAGATTTAACTAGTGTTCAACTTATTGTTGTTGGTTCTTTGCAATCATGTACAATCATCAGTTGTTACACAAAACAATGGCAACAGATAACCAAACCAAGCAGAAAATGTACCGAAGGCTTAGTTTCTAACACTTAGATCTAACTAAAATCATAAAAGATTAAAAAAATATGTAAAAGTAATAATTTTTTATACAGATCAGATACAGTTAAAAAGAATTTTTGGTAATTCATTTTTTGAATAGCTACCAAAAAAATCTCCTAATTTCAAAAGGCTATCTAACTTTTCTTATCTAAAAATAATTTGTCATTGGTGCTTTTTCTTTTTCCTATGTGGAACTCATCTATATGACCCACTTCAGATAATTCTTTCAGAAATCTGTTTTAGGCTTGCGTCATTAAACCCAACTAACTGTGCATGGCTCATATGTCCCCATACAAATAAATATGAGAGAGAGTTATGATTACTAGGTGGGTCCACGGATAATGCTTTGTAGGAGCTACAATAGAATAAGATATAACTCTCTCAAAGAGGCAAAAAAAAAAAAAAAAAGACACTCTTAAGAAACTAGTCACCATCATATAGTCTAGCCATAATAAGAAACATAACTAAAAAAATATAGGCAAAGCTTAAATCTTTCACAAATAATTGATCCTACAAGTCACATATACAAATATAAAAATGCAAAGTACAACATCATATTTATTTTATGTAGTCACAACTTTACTAAACAAAAGAAAAGGAAATATGTTTATCACAAACTAATGTTACAGACTTCTAAATCATTGTTATTGTTATACAGAATAAATATAAATATTAATCTCAGGAATGCATTCAAATCCAGAAAATGATGTATACCTTTGAAGTGAGGCAGTACTTTGTCCTCTCATTTCCGGGAAAACTATCGGAAACCAAGAACTTCCCTTCTCCCAAAATCCTAACCCCTTCTTCGGCACAGTAAGACACCAGATCTCCAGACCTCACGACCTTTAAAAAAAAAAAAAAAAAAAAAAAAAAAAAAAAAAAAATTTTAAAAAATATAATCTTGAAAACTTAAATTGTTCAAACTACATGAACATGGAAACAAGCAAGTTCATTCTCTAATTGGCCTCTAAACTATCCCAAAAACAGTATTGTGGAGGTAAATACTAAATCAAATTAAACTTTAGAAAAGAAAAAGGAAAGAAAAAAGTTGTACGGTTAGTCCCACGCCAAATTTTCATCAGTGTAAAACCATATGTAATGTAATAACAGTACATACTCTGTTTTTGTATAAATATAAAAATTAAAAAAAAATTACAATTTAGTCGGTATATCAGTATATATATTTTGTAGTACTTAATGCAAAATATTTGGGATTTATATTGTTATTTTTATACTTTAAAAAAAATTAAGAAAAGTTTATATCCAAAACTAACAGCACTAATTTTGAATAGTACTACTAAAACCTTTTGTTTTTTTTTTTTTGGGTCTTTGGGAGTAATTATTCTAACTTAAATGCAAGACCAGCAAGAATTTGTGAACCTCAGTGACAGAATCTTTGGCTGGTTTAGCAATCTCTTTGACAAGACACTCCGCAATTGGAAACTTGTGTTCCTTAAGAATAGCAGCAGCCTTGTGAAGCAGCTCTGCTCTCTTCCAAAGAGGAGTCTTTGCCCATGATTTCTGTGCTGCTTTTGCTATTTCCATCACTTTGTTCACCTCCTCTTGGGAACATGCTTTTTCATCAATTTCACCCCCAAAAACACAACATTAGTGCTTACATATAAATAATTACATGACATGCGTGAATCAAACGCAAATCATAATATTTATGTAAAATTATTATTAAAAACAAAAACAAATACTTACCTTGAACTTTGTACTGAGTCTTTCTGGTAGTGGGGTTGATTATGGCAACACTTTTACCAGAAGCACACTTCTTCCACTCTCCATCACCATAGTACTTGTACACATCCCCATCCAATATCTCTGCAAACACTCCAGTCCCAACCATATTGAATAGTAATGACCAAAAAAAAAGGGAAAAAAAAAAAAAAAACTCCAAAAAGCTCAAAACCCCAGAAAAGAAAAACAACCCAAGAATTGAAACACTAAAGAAAATGCAACTTCAATGTGTGACTGGTTTGGGTTAATGATTTGGTAGGATTTTGGTGTGGTGTTTATATAAGAAAGAAACTGAGCCACTAAATGGGACAAAGGAACGAGGTTGGTTTGGTGGTTCAAAGCTTGCCAAGTGGACTTTTTGTTACTTTTTTTGTTTATTTTTTTATTTTTCTTTTGTTGGTTTCTACGCCTCATTTTCCGGGGTTATGTATTGACGCCATTGCCACTATTTACTTGCTTTTCCAAGTAGTGCGCAAAATCATAGTCGTTGGCCTCGTTTTTAACGACATATATAGGCATCGCAAACACAAAGCAAGTAATTAGTCATTAATGGCCAAAATTACTTATGGGTAATTATGTACTTTTATTGGCTGTCTACTTGCTCAAAAGTTTTGACCTCCATTTCACTTGTACCAACTCTTGACTCAACTTAGGCTAGAGTAAACACTGCAATTAACCTAGATCTTTTTTTTTCCCCTTTATTGGTTTTTTATAACACTAATAAAAAAATATTTTAAATATAGGAGTGATTTTGATTATTTTCATTTGTTTTACTTACTATAATTACTACAATTATAGTAACTAATGGCGATTATAGTGCATTCTACAATTACCAACGCACTATAATTGCCAGAAATTACTTGTGATGGAATTATTGATATGATAGTGACATAAAAAAAAAATCAAAATACACCCTTTATTATATCAAACTAAAATTTAAAAATAAGAAAAAAGTGTCGAGCCACATGGAACAATAATAAAGTTTGCCAATATGCTCATAGATGACAGATCGGCCAAGCCCACTTGACTTCACCACGGCCCGGAAGCACAACCAGGACTCGAGTGAAGAACCACGCGACACCATCACTGCCTTAAATAGTGAATACCCACCTGACTCCACCAGAAGACACTAGCACAAACATCAACAAAGGCGACTCCACCGTTAGCGTTAAAGTGCACGAGAGAGATTCTGAGGTTGTAGAAACATCGAAGATCCGGCGCACATAACATGGCCGAACAAAAAACTACGTTTCCCATTTACTTTTTGCCACAGAGTCGCAAACACCATCATAGTCAGTAAAAAAACAAAATAGATTTTTTAATAAAAAGATCAGCTCTTATGTGGAATATTAAAATTTAAAAAAAAAAAAAAAAAAAAAAAAAAAAAAAAAAAAACCTTAAAATGCATATAAAGAAACAAGAAAAATCATACTAAAAATAAAGATTAATTACAACGTAACAACCGTTTCTCTTCAACAACAACGAAACGTTAACAAAAAAAGCCTCCTCGGTTAACTTTTCCTCAAAAAAAAAAAACAGGGTTGAGCCCAACAATAGTTTGTCAGATAACCAGTAAGACACCTACAGTAGGGAGGGGATCGAGTCCCAGTAGGAAGGGAGTCAAGGGGGTGACATTGCTTAGGAGATATGGGGGGCCGAGGTGGTACAAGTGTCGATGACGTGGAGGGTGGTCAAGGGGAAGGGAAGACATACATACAGAGTTTTAATCAGTTTGAAGAATGCATATATATATAAATGGAATCAAGAATATATAATTGTTGTCCTTTACAAGTGCATGCATGCAGTCTCCTTTAATTATATGTCAATTTTAATTGATGAGGCGTTTGACAAGCATGCTATAACTTATGGACTAATGATTTTTTTTTTGTTTTTTTTTTTTTTTTTTTTGCGAGGACAATAATCTTATGCTACTTTTCAACATTTAAGTAAGAAGTACTATATACTTGTTGTCCACTTTGGAGGCTAACATAATAATTGTATGGGTATCTAGGGATTTTGTGTTTTCAACTTTTCATGAATTGACAAACTGCACCTTAAACGTGCATAAGTAGTACTAGATTACTTTTTGAATTTCATAAAGTGTAGCAAAGTGCTTTCAATGACTATTAAAATTTAGATAATAACGCCATTATCTACTTCATTTGAACTTGTTCTATTAAAATTTAGATGATAACACCTTTATCGACTTCATTAATTTAGCTTTGTTTGAATGCTGGAGATTATTAACATTTTAGATGACATGCAACACATCACATAATGTGTATGAGGGTGTTTTTGTCCAAATTTTAATCACCCTTATTGATTTAGGGCACTCTATAATTAAGTAAATTTAAAAAGATAATTTGTCAAAATTAAAGTTCAGGAGATTAATTTGCAAAAGTAAAAAAGAAAAAAAGTACTAATCATCCTAATTATATATAATAATTAGAGAATCATAAACACATACGTTATAGCTTGTGCTAACGCTATTATTTTGGTTCTACAAAAGTCACAAGTAATTATGATTGCATACTTAATCTAACGGTAAGTTTACACATATGAGTGTTCAATATTGAGGTTGAGTGTTCGAATCTCTCACCCAATTTAAAAAGAAATATACAAGTAATTTATTTTAAGATTAAGAAATGGTTTGTTTATTGCAGTGTTGTTCCATGTACTTCTGACTTGTACGACTTTACGAATTATTGTGCAACTAATAGGGTTATGTCAATTAGTTGTTTTTGATATTGAAATTGAAGCTCTCAAGTGTATATACTACAAAAAGTTTTTGGTAAATGAAGCAAAAAAGTTTTTCTTTTTTCTTTTTTTTTTCCCCCTTGTTGTTTGTTTGTTTTTTTTTTTTGTTTTTTTTTTCCTGCGTCTTTTTTGATACATATATGTTGGAATGTTTGTTGCAGTAATATCAAAAGCCTTCAAGAAGTTGACTAATTTAAGGTGTTGGAGCTTCCTTTTCACCAAAGATTAAAAAAATGCTGATATAATTTCTGCAAGGTCGCCTAAGCAGAACGGCACTTGTATATTTTTGTATAAAGTGTGTATATTTACAGTAAGTTGTGTATATTCACACGTAACTTGTGTATATTTACATGACACTTGTATAATTGTGCAATCGTGTATATTAACATGTAAATCGTGTATATTTACATATAAATCATGTATGTTAAGTTATAAGAAATGACAATGTATATTAATCCTCAAAACATGTTTTTTTTATAGCAATTAGTGAACACATAGCATGAAAATATGTATATTGACTGATTTATTGTATTTCATGTTAAATATACATGATTTTACATATAAATATATATAATTTACGTATAAATATATACAATTTATACACGATTATACAAGTGCCTGACCAGAGACAATTCCTATAATTTCAACACGTATAGCAAAACTTACATTATTAAAGCTAAAGGAACTATAAAAGAAAAAGTTAATAAAACGTGGATTTAATTTTGTCTAAAGTCATTACAATTTTGTACTTTCTTTAAATGCTTTTTACAGCCAAATGGTATTTAAAAATAAATATACAAGTAATTTATTTTAAGATTAAGAAATGGTTTGTTTATTGCAGTGTTGTTCCATGTACTTCTGACTTGCACGACTTTACGAATTATTGTGCAACTAATAGGGTTATGTCAATTAGTTGTTTTTGATATTGAAATTGAAGCTCTCAAGTGTATATACTACAAAAAGTTTTTGGTAAATGAAGCAAAAAAGTTTTTCTTTTTTCTTTTTTTTTTCCCCCTTGTTGTTTGTTTGTTTTTTTTTTTTGTTTTTTTTTTCCTGCGTCTTTTTTGATACATATATGTTGGAATGTTTGTTGCAGTAATATCAAAAGCCTTCAAGAAGTTGACTAATTTAAGGTGTTAGAGCTTCCTTTTCACCAAAGATTAAAAAAATGCTGATATAATTTCGGCAAGGTCTCTGGTCAGGCACTTGGAAAATGCCTGACGAGAACGGCACTTGTATATTTTTGTATAAAGTGTGTATATTTACAGTAAGTTGTGTATATTCACACGTAACTTGTGTATATTTACATGACACTTGTATAATTGTGCAATCGTGTATATTAACATGTAAATCGTGTATATTTACATATAAATCATGTATGTTAAGTTATAAGAAATGACAATGTATATTAATCCTCAAAACATGTTTTTTTTATAGCAATTAGTGAACACATAGCATGAAAATATGTATATTGACTGATTTATTGTATTTCATGTTAAATATACATGATTTTACATGTAAATATATATAATTTACGTATAAATATACACAATTTATATACGATTATACAAATACTTGACCAGAGACCATTCCTATAATTTCAACACGTATAGCAAAACTTACATTATTAAAGCTAAAGGAACTATAAAAGAAAAAGTTAATAAAACGTGGATTTAATTTTGTCTAAAGTCATTACAATTTTGTACTTTCTTTAAATGCTTTTTACAGCCAAATGGTACAACAAAAAAAGAATGTGGAAGATAAAAGGGACTAAAGGAAGCAAGGAATGATGATTATAGCTTTATCTTTTCCCTTATGGGCATCTTATTCATTTCACAGCTTGCGCTAGTCCAATGGAGCTTATCCTCCTCCCATTACTAGTACTAGTAGTGGTGAATTCATTGACGACCCTATATCCAAATCCAATCCAGTCCTATTCCCTTTGAACTCTGTGCCCAAATCAGCATTCCCCCAGTTCCATTCTGAGGTTTTTGGTATGACCATTCTGAGCTTCTAGTTTCCTCTTTTGCTTCCTCGATGCAAGAGCCAGAATATTCCTTGAACAATTGCAGTCTAATCAGATTAGGGGAGGAATGGTATTACATTTGTCAGAGCATGGCCAAATTTTGGGTCAGCTTTTAGTGGGCCTCTACCATTGATAATGACTAAAATGTCTCATTAAGTTCACGTTACGAGTACTTAAATAAAGGAATTTTTATGGTGGGATACGACATCATATATATACTCTACGTTGTTGTTACTTAATAAGTTGTTGTTACTTAATTAGTGTCATATGAGTAAGGTTTTTTATGATAAGTAATAAGTTGTTGTTACTTAATTAGTGTCATGTGAATCTTGTGTTAATATGCAACCATAGAGTTGAATTAAACGGTTTATATGGTATGAGACTGGATTGTAAAAGATTTTCTTGACACTACTATTACACTTATTTTGTATGTAATGATATAAATCACACGGTTACAGCCAATGGTCTCATGTTCCACACCCATG